GGTGGCGTGAATGGTGACGACTCAACAAGGCTCTGATACCACTGTTGAGAGATCGTTGACGTCGATGTTTGGCTCAGAAGCCTGCTCAACCAGTTACTGTTCTCCTCTCCTATACACCACCAAGACAAAAGGGGGAACTCGCCACTGGTTCTCTCCTCAATCACTCACAAAGGGTGAAGGGATTGTACAAAGCGATGGACGGGAAAAGCTCACAAAAGGGAGAGGATCACACAAAGCTCTAGAGAGCACAAAGCTAGCAGGGGGTTCTCTTCACTCTCACTGCTTCTTCCCACACCGAACTACTACCAACCCTTCGACTTACATAGAGAAGGGGGCAGCCGACACGGGAGAGAAAGCCTAGGGTTTTGAATAGTAGAAGCCGGCCTACAGGGATGGGAGATGGGACTCAAAGCGGCAGCCAACAGGACACAAGGATGGGAAAGGGGCTGCCGACTGAGGGTTGAGTACCATCGGGTAGGCCAACAGGACACAAGGATGGGAAAGGGGCTGCCGACTGAGGGTTGAGTACCATCGGGTAGGAGGAGAGGTTTAGAGATGTGCTAGGGCAAATATTATGGGGACTAGGCCTAGTAACGGGCCAGATTTTGGGCCAACAAAATAGCAACAAATAGCAAATAAAAGGGTGCGATCGAGACATTGTATGAAAATAGAATTATTTACTATGAATACAAAGAGATAAGAAAAAGGAAAAAACACAAAAAAAGAGGGAGAGATACACTACAATATAGCGATCTTGTACATGGAAAGACAAACAACAAGAGGGGGGAAACATAAAGAGAGATGCTTTACCGGGAAAAAGTAATTGTGACGATGAAAAGAAAGCAATGAATAGAATACACACAAAAAAAAGGAGGAAAAAAAGAGAAAGAGAAATAGAATTATTCACTATGAAAATCCATGAAACTATGTAGGCCATTTAAAAAGATTTTAAAACATTATTGTTGAATCATGATTCAAATGATAAAGAAAGTATATCAAAATTAACCAAATTTGTTCAACCATGTAATATTTTAATATTCATCAAAAGATAGAGAAATCATGAATCAAACATTGAGCACATAGAATTTCTTAGGAGAAACTTTTTGAACCTGATAAACATGATTTGGAAGTAAAATATCGATA